AGTTGTAGAGCTCACAATCTGAACGAGAGAGAAAGAGAAAACGAAACAGATAGCCAGTCTACTAGACAGTAGAGCTGGAAGGATATTGATTAAATTAGAGAAATTGTGCGTTCAAGTTCACACCTTTTCAACATGGATGGTTTTAACTGCCCTTACTTAGCGTTAGGGTTTCTATCGAGGCACAGTCTTTTTGATCGCGGAATTCTCCGATCTTTCCACCTCCCCACTTTTTCTCACTTCATGTGCAAAGATCATCGCCATGAAGACCTTGTTGCTCTTTCTAACGACAATACTGTTGCCATCCTTCCGTATACTACCTCAAAGCAGAGGGAGTGGTTGTATTCTGTTGACGTATGCAAGAGGAGACGATTTGTACAAAGTCTTGGGGGTGTCCAAGTCAGCGACAACCAAGGAGATCAAGAGTGCCTACCGCCGAAAAGCACTAGACACTCACCCGGACAAACGTAAAGACATTCCAGCGGAACAAGCGGCCGAAGAGTTTCAAAAAGTGGTGCATGCCTTTGAAATATTGAGTGATGACTCCTCTCGAAGGAACTATGACCGAACAGGACGTGCCGGTCAAACACAAGGTGGTGCTGGTGGTGGAAGAGGCCAACAGCAGCAACAGCAATGGGGAGGCTTTCAGTTCCGATGGAGCCACGGAGGAGGAGGACGACAACGGAGCTTTCGGCTCAAGGACAAATTCAAGGTCCAGGAAGCCATGAGTCGTGTCATGCACATTGTCAGTCTCACCCAGCTGGAAACAGTCATGCTCGATGAAAACGATTTATTGGAACGCAATCTGCTCATGGCCTTTGTCACTCCACAAGAAATCGAACAACATTGTGACGATGAAATGGTATTCCCGTACCCCTTTGCAGGCATGTCAGAACAAGGTAAGTCGTGTTACACTGTAATGTTCCTATACTGAAAATTTTGAATATCCATGGATATATTATTGATTGTGATGACTCAACTCAACTTACTCAATTTGTATTATTCCTGGACAGGTCTGTGGTGGGAAGACAAACTACAGACAGTCAAAATACGATTCAATCGACAAAACGGTCTTACCAAGTTCTTCAATATTCCTGAGGGTGATGAATTGCGGAAGCAAAAGGCGCCCATCTTCCTGTTTGGTCGTCGTGGTCAACCATTGTCTGCAGATTTTGCACGCTTGCAGACATCCAATAGGCTTGAATTTGAAAAGTGGATGTGGAAACAGATTGAAGTGACAGTGGAGTTTGTCAACAATCATCCCCATGCTGTGGAAATTATGTGGATGCACGGATCACGTGGACATGACAAACTAAAACTAAAGCCTGGCGAGTCTCAAACTCATACGACCATGCTCGGACACGAGTGGTGGGTTCGCGATGCCAGAGTGGATACTCGAAAAGATTCACCAGGACGGTACCGACTTTCTCGACAATCCATGGTAGCAGTGTGGAAGATCAAAAGTGATGAAGACTTTCAAAGGCTTGTGATTCATCCCAAAAATTGCATTGATTTGAGTGGTCATTGTCCTTGGTGGAAAAGCCAAGGAGAATGTAAAAAGAATCCAGAATTTATGACAGAGAATTGTGCTTTGACCTGCAAGACCTGCAAGGAAGACGATGATGTTTACAAAAGTCATGATGAGTTATAGCTCGACAAGCACACTTACTCTTCCAAAGAATTAATTAGTGTCCAAAGTGTCAAGTGGACTGAATGAGGCACTCGAGCGAGCAATTTGGGTCGAGACAGGAAAATCAATTACCTACTACATAATCTCTACTAGCTAGGGTACGGTAGTATCTTGTCCGACTTCCATCGAATCTACTACTAGCTAGAGAGCTAGCTAGCTAGTATTTGGTTCTGCTCTTCCGCTGCCAGGAATAACCGAGGTGCCGTTGGTACAAGTAGTAGTCTAGCAGGTTGAGTGACAGTCACTAATCAACTACAGTCATGGTTGATGTGGGTTCAGTCAGAGCTTCTCGTGACTCGCTCCCCTCCAAGAATTCTTCCTCGTCAAAATCCCAAAATCCCAAAAGAACAACGGAGACAACTGAAAGAAAAGGACCATGGCGTCAGCTAAATCGTCGTCAAAGTCGAATTTACGAATCGAGTGTTCTGTCCAACCATTGGATCTTTCGTTTCATCCAGAGCGTGAGACTATTGTAGCAGCAGCTTTGGTGGACGGAACCCTGGAAGTCCACGATTTTGAAGCGTTACTCTCCTGTCAAGACGCGAAACCAAAAGCCGACCAGGACGACGATGACGACGAAGACGACACAATCCTCTCTTCCACTGCCGTTCATACACAAAATATTCCAGTTCCCAACAGAAATGGCGACAGCACGACAAATGTTGCCACGAAGAATGCTTCCTGTCGGACTGTCCTGTTTTCTAACAACCAAGGGCATCGACTGTTCACAGGTGGAAGTGCCGGTGATGTGGTCTGCATAGATGCCTCGAGAGTTTGTTCCTTTTCTTCCAAAACTGCGAATTCAATTCTGTGGAGAATTGAAGAAGCGAGTGTGGGCACATCGTTGCACAATCCACTGCATGTTCTGCACCAGTTGCCAGCCACTTGTTGCAAAGGAAACTTGATTGTCTCGGGAGATGACCATGGCGGAGTGCGATTGTGGGATGAACGGCTCCTTGATACCAAAACAACAAAAGGATCCAATCAGATGCAGAGGAACAACCAGAGACAATCATCGGATTCTGCCTTGAAGCTACCAAAAGGCTGTGTCTTGTCATGGAAAGAACACAACGACTACATTTCAGATTTGACTCATTCGGAGGATGGAAACACTCTTGTGGCAACTTCATCCGATGGATGTTTGTCCGTCTTTGACATTCGAAAATCTTCCACTTCCAACATTCTGCAAAACAGTCAGTACGTCAAAAAGTCAGATCCTCAGGATGATGAACTCTTGAGTGTGGCAATCCTCAAACACGGCAGAAAAATTGTCGCAGGAACACATGAAGGAGTTGTGGCGGTCTGGAGCTGGGGTACCTGGGGAGACATTAGCGACAGGTTTCCCACTGTCTGTCCAAAGGGGACCAGCATGGACGCCATTCTCAAAATGGACGAAGACACTTTTTTGACGGGGACTTCCGATGGGCGCATCAGGGTTGTCACAATCCATCCAAACAAGGTATTGGGGTCTTTGGGGGATCACGACCACGGGTTTCCCATTGAGGCCTTGGGCTTTTCTGCAAATCGCAAGTACGTGGGTAGTGTCAGTCACGATCCCTACATTCGCTTGTGGGATACCAAAAATTTAATTCTACATGACGATGATGAGGAAGACGAGGAGGAAGACAAACAAGACGACAAGCCACGGAAACGACCGGCTCCTGCAGCCGCCGCCGCTGCAGCCAAAGTCAACAAGGGTGGTCAAGCCAGCGATGACGAATGGGAAGATATGGACGAAGAAGACGAGGAAGAAGAAGAAGAAGACGACGACGACGACAGTGACGACGACAGCGGTGATGACAAGCAACCAACGAAAAATGACAACCGAGCCAAAAAGCTCAAAACGAAAAATGAGGAGTTCTTTTCGGATTTGTAGAATTTGTACATGGCGTGCAGTAGCTAACATTTTTCAGAATAGAGAGAACCACTCTGTCCACATATTACTTCAGGATCCCACTTTCTACCAAGGCTTGATAGTGATCAGGACGATGGTGGCTCAAGTAGTACTCCAACTTTCCCATGACCGTGGGCGATGCCTCAGGTTGCTTTGTCGCCACGCCCGTCAGTTTCTCTATGAATGCCTGGACCCTTTCTCGGGCCGCTGCAATCTCGTCAGCAGAATGGACTACTTCTTCCACTTCACCGACAGCGTAGACCAAGTCGCAATCACCGTACGTTGCCATATCGAGGTCCACTTTGACGGTGGCATAATATTGAGAATCTGGAGCGCCAGAAGGGATCCAACTGGAGCGCTTTGTTTCAATCCTGGCAAACGGCAACAATAATGGCTCGTTGGTTGTCGGGTCAACCATCTCAGTCGGCAGATCTTGTTGGAATTCTCTCTGAAACATGTCCAAAAGATCTCCTTGCTGTGGCGAAATCTGGCTGTTGACAACATCGTCGCTATTCGCGACCGTCGACAATAATATCATGGTTTTGGCAATCGCCTCAGGTCCTGCAATCTCTTCGTAAACAGTGGCAGCTGCTGTCTTGTAATCATCACTGCGTCGTAACTTCAATTGCCACGCAGCCTTGTCTCCTTGGCGGCGATGTCTCAACCAGCAATCCTGGGTTGACAAGGCCCATTTACATTGTTTGGCAGTAGAAGCAACATCCCAATACCAATCGACCATTCCCTCTTTTGGACCTTTATTTTCTAGCTGGGGTAAGAAGCCGAGATCTTGTAGTCTCTTTTCAATTTGGGTCGTTTCATCCAATGATCGAAGCGCAAACTTCTGTTCCACCTCAAACTCCGTCAGAGCGGACGATGGAGTAGAGGACATGGCGAGGATCAGACTCGGCACAGACCACCGATGCAACAACACTCGATTCACCCTGGTGGATACAAGAGCCATGCCAGGGGATGTCAGCACAAAGATGACTGCAAATATTGCAAGGAGACTATTCCGCGGAGACTTTTCAAGACCGCTTCCACTGCAAGCTGGCATGATGGCTGGGATTTCACAAGAGTGTGCGAGCTATCGATCGATTTCTCTTGGCGGATGTGGTACGACTGTAATAGTCTACATGCATGTACCGGTACTAGTACTCTACCGGTACCGGTACCAGCACCGGGATGTGAGAGATCTGTGCGTCATCGTCGGCATTTGCTTTGATTGAATCCACGACTGAGTTTCGGGCTCAATCTCACCACGCTCCTTTTGGTTACAGTCAACTCGCTCTAATATTACTTGGGGGGGATTTCGGACTTCGGGTAATACTACGGCTTCGGATTGAATTGGCCAGAATGGGCTCGGGAAGAAAATTGAGGGTGCTGGGAAGAGAATTCAAGGGGGTCGGAAGAAAATTCGAGGCAAATTTACTTAAAGAAGCCTTTCCTTTCTTTGGGATTATGCGCGCCGGGCGACACCATCGAATTTTCCAGCCGATTCCGTGGAGGTTCGGATTTGTGGCTCTGTAGGAACTGTACCAGAGCTCTACAGGGGCAGTCCGATTTTCTTCCGAGCACCCCCAATTTGCTTCCCAAGCCCATTCTGGCCAATTCAATCCGAGGCCGTAGTATAATAGAGAGAAGTAATATTAGGCTTTTCAAGGGCCGGTTCCACTAGTAAAGTACGAATGGATAGAGCCGTCACGTTTACGCTTGCCCGCCCTAGCAGCCCTAGCCACATTCAATGCCCTGGCAAACCTGTCAAGATGCACAGTGGCCGCCTGGTTGATACCCAAAGCAGAGGCACTCTTGGAGAGCTTGTTGAGTGCTTCTTCAGCTTCGGCAAATGAGGCAAAGACATCGGCAGGTTCCGGATCAATCTCCACTGGTTCCGGTTTCTCGTCATCAAGCACAGCCAGTTCGGCTTCTGTTGCTTCAACTTCGAGCTCTTCAATCTCTTTGTCGATGGTTGCGCTAATGACTTCGGGCTCGTACTGACGTCATTCGTCATTCACGGATATGCGGGACTGGGGGGGGATCCGAAGAATCAGGTAATATAACAGCGAGAAGTAATATTAAATAAGTAATATTAGCGCGAGTAGACTGTACTCCCTCAGTTGCACTCTGGGGCCGATTTGCCGGCGTTTACTGTGTGAAATAGAGTAGCCGCACTTCAGTTGCAGAATCAACGGTCATGTGTATCCATAAGTAACAGGTTCTCGTTCGACAAAAATAGATCGATTCGTGGAAAAAATGACCGTTGACAGTACGGTACGATGAATGGTTCAGTTGAAGGCACAGCACTGTCATCTCTCCCTCATTGAATTCCTATGCCAAACAGGAGAGAAATCCAAGCTTGGCCGACAAGAGTGGTATGTACCATACCGGTAGGAGGAGTTCTTTATCCAATTGGCCGATCGATCGCAATGAGGTAAGCCTATTATCAAGCCTGTTATTGAAGGTACAGCGCTGACGTCTCTCCCTCATTGGATTTCTATGGTATTCAGGAGAGAATTCCAAGCTTGACCGTCAACAGGTGAGTTGTTTTAATTATTCGAATCGATCGATCGCACCTCTGGTTCTCTGTACTCCAAGCCTCACTCAAGCCGTCCTTCTCCGGTGCAGATTCGAAAGCCATCCCTCATTGAATCCTATGGACCATGGGATGGCAGTCAGTTCTAGGCCCATGACAGCCAAGTTGGTGCAATTTGGAAAACAAGGGTAAGTCTCCGGTCGTCTGCAGTTCAGCACAGAGAACAAAACTCATATCTATTTGTTGTTTTCTCTGCTGCACTGCCGACGGCCAAGGAAATCCCATTGTCGAACGAACGAACGATCCCTCTGGATAACATGGATAACAACAGGAGAGGAGGCTACCGGTACTACGGAGGAGGCTCTGTTAACTCCAGCCCTATCAACAGCATGAACGCACGGAGAAGATCGTCGTCGAGTCATTGAATGGCTACAAGAGGAGGCTACACGACAACACTCGTACGCACAGAGGAGAGTGGATCCTACTGCTGGATTCATCCCTCCAGTGTTATTTCCTAGTGTTTTGGTGGTGATTCATGTGTCGGTACCCACTTTCCTGTATGCACAAGTCCTCGGGCGAACGACTTGCTTCTTTCGTACGATAAAGATAGATAAATAACTCGTAACATAATAGATCATCGATTACCGACCAATAGACCACTCCTTTCATTAGATAGTAGACACCTTATAGATCAATAGGATTGACAATATTCGGTTGTGTATATATTCGTCATAAGGATCCAATACGAGGTACCTGTACCGGAGTGTTGCGAGCAAAGCCGAACCTGAGTGTGTTCGGTACTGTTGCCACTGTCGCCGATGTAACTATACGGCAGCCTGCTACAATGGCTGGATTGACAATATTCGGTTGTACATGTATTCGTCATAAGTATCCAATACAAGGTACTTGTACCGGAGTGTAGCGAGCAAAGCCGAACCTGAGTGTGTTTGGTACTGTTGCCACTGTTGCCGATGTAACTATACGTTGTGTAGCCGACTACATTTGCTGGATTGACAATCTTCGGTTGTGCATGTATTCATCATAAGGATCCAATACGAGGTACTTGTACC